GGAAAGGAAATAACTCAACTTGGGTTGCTCTATGATGTACAACTCCAAAGGAAATAAGTTTCACCCTCGGAGGGTTTTGCTAAAACAGAACAGCTCTACCCCGAAGGCAGCCTCACAAATGAGTCTCCATTAACATGGTTTCCAAAACCTCATTTCTATTCTCTTGAGACAATAAAGCATTCCAGTGCTTTATTGCCCAGTCCTATCAAACATTTATCACCACCCTATGCCAGATGTGATCCTCCAAAGCTAGCATATTTTGCACACACACAGCACATGCTTCACATCCCCCAGGAGATGAAGTTGGGAGGTTGGTTGACTTGGTGCAGGGTAGTCTCTGGTTCTGCACTAAAACAAAATCCTTTTACTTAACCCATCAATTCATATAACATGACAAACAAAGTGGTCCTCTCCACTCATCACTTTTTCTCAAGGAGTACTAGAGTCTTTGCAGCATGAAGTTCTGTAGGTGAAGAGGTCATGTATGGTGCCAAGAAAAAAGCTGGACCCTGAGACCATCCTCTTCCTTTGTGGTCAAATAAGCAAACATTACTTCACAGTCATTGGAACAAATAAATATTTGCTTTTAAGATCTTTTGCACATGATAGCATGTTCCTTTATAACATACCTGTATGAAGTCGGAAGTTTTTAGCAAAAATGTGATTTTATTTGCACCAGCACTCACATCCTGAAACTATTCACTACAGAAACTGGACCTGGTAAACTGAGTGAAGCAGAGCAGTTAAATCCAAGAGCACAGAACGTCAGGCCCATTAATTCAGAGAACTATTAGTGGTACATACGACCATAAGATATGAAGAGATTTGGAAAGCACGATATCACAGAGGCTTGATTCATTAGGAATAGTCACAAGTTGGCATTTAAATGTTCAAGCTTTATGTTGTGTTAAAATTCAGCATATGGCTTATAGACTGTGGTTAAATAGAATCGTGTTCTGGACTGAAAGGACAGTCCTGATTATTGTCAACCAGGATTCTGATCAATTAACAGTTAAAATGAAATTGGGCCAACAGTTTTTGAACGGATTGTAGATTTGGCAAATGGCTCCAACTTCACCATGTGGTAATGCCCTCCCCTCTCCTGAGCCATGTGGTGGTGAGTATTTTATGACTACTGTGTCTAAGTAAAATTGAGTGATATTGCCACTCAAGTCTTAACAGTGAATACAGATGGCTGTGCCCTCACTAAATGATGTGTATGAGGAGGTAACACCCAGAGTCCAATCCCCAACAGAGAACAGAAATGTATAAGAGCCTATGATGGTAAATCACCCCTTTATTTCCACTAGCAGGAAGATGCAAAAGCCAGAAGATACAAAGTTGCAATTATTCAAATTGGAAAATCCACCAAGGACCAATGTTCACATATCCTACTGCTATTTTACTGATATTAACCATTTCTGGATATACAAACTCCTTGAGGGCTGGTATTATGAATTCAGTTTTTTGACATCTGTATCCCCCTACTAGACACATAAGCTCTGAATAAAGATTTGTGGAATGGAATAATGAAGAGATGAAATATTTTTCCCCAGTCTATGTCTTCTCTTCCTTAACACTGAGTTTTAAGCATGGAATCTTACACAGAAGGAACCCTCAGCCAAGAGTGGAACCAAATATGCTGATCCCTCATAAATAAAACATTGTCTATCAAATAATACTTTTCAACATATTCTGTTACTGGCATTTATAGGGAAAGACTGGGAGATTGTGGGATTGGCTAAAGTTACATGGAGAGTGATAGGACACAGACTTAAAAACTCATTCTATTAACCTCCATGTTCTATCTAGTGCAACTTCACAGAATTTCCACTATCACTATAAATCGAGATGTGTTTCTCAAAAAAATGTAATGGCAGAGCTTATTTGACTCAGAATGCATCCATGCTTGCTAGAAGTTTCTGTGACTTCTTAATTGTATTAAGTTCTCAACTCGTAGTAGTTTGTCAGTTTGACAATTTGAGACAAGGTAAAATAATACTGCTAATAAATTGCTGGTAAAAAACTATATTTTTAATAACTAAAATAAAATTCAGAACCAAAAAGTTGCAACTGACCATAAATGGAAGCACACATTGATCCTGTATTTTCTATGTTGGATGATTGGCAAACACTTTAGAGCTATCACCAAGCCAATGCCAGCATTTGGAATCACAGCCCAAAGAAGTTAGGTGGTACATTCAAGGTCACACTGCAGCTTCTCATAGAAGCCATTTTAAGGTTAATTCAAAGGAATGTAATTTGGTAATCATACCAATATTTTTTATCACCTATTGTGTACTAGCTGAGTTGGAAAAAATAGGGATAACTAGGAGCCATCCTCAGCTCTCAGTGAGCACACTAAATGAGAACCGACCACACCTTTATCAACACTAACTGTAGGATTTTTTTTAAAAAATTATTTATACAAGAACCGGGGTACAGGCCAGATGTGCGCAAGGGTGAGAGGATTCACCAGAGACAGAGCGGGGAACAGAACAGGCAGATGGACCGAAAAAAACTGCCAAGAGGAGCAGCGGTGAGACAGGAGAGGTCTGCCGCGCCATGTGGGTATCTCCCCAGCCCACAGAGCTCAAACCTGCACTGCAGAGGCTGCGGACAGCTTCACAACACTGCACTCAACCCGCTGTGCCACCAGAGAGGCCCCAATTGTAGGATTATTAACTGATGTAGAAGCCTGTGTGACATGCTCCTGACTTAGAAAAATATATATTTTGACTTGGTAATGGCAGTTGCTAATTTAGAATCCTATCTCAGCAATGCTGGAAAACGTGCTACTTCTCACTGAGGACAAATTCTTCCATGGCCACTTCAAGAGAAGTACACTTGTGAATGCTTGTTTTCCATTTTTAAAAAGCACTGCCAAGGCTAGTAATACAAACTTGAGGAAATCTCTAAGACCCTTAAGATTTCCAACCTTGTCCTCAATGTTTTCATATTTAAGAGAAAAGAAAAACTTGACAAAACCAAATTAAAGTCCTCATGAGATGACAGCTAGGTTTTTTTGGCTGTGGGATTGACATCACTTAATTAAATTCATTAAATGAGATAATAGAAAGTACTTAACACAATGCGAGGCAAAGATGTACTCAATAAACGCCCATATTCATTCACTCATTGATGATTAGATAAGCATCACTGTGCCTTGGCTGGAAACCCAAACATCTATCAATCAAATTTGTAAAATGATTCCAAAATGCTCTGACGGTGAGACCAAACGGTTAAGAACAAAGTTTCCAAAGAATCTTTGGCAGAATAGCGCCCCTCTAGTCCTGCACTCGTCCTGCCCCCACATAAGACTGGACATTCTTAAACTCTGTCCACCTTCACTACAGCGAACCCTTTTTAATAATAACGGTTTTTATAATTTCAAGAAATTTTGTTCTGAAAAACTGCATCATTCCAGCTGCCCCCTGGTGAGCTATCTCAGAGAGAGAGCACGTTTTCAGCGTTGCTGAGATAGGATTCTAAATAAGAATCTGCCACCACCAAATGAAAATGTAATTTTTCTAAGTCTCGAAGTTCAAATTTGGGTGGTCTGGGCTATCTCTCGCATCTGGACCATTAATACAATTAAGCCCTTAACTTTTATTTTTTGTAAAGTATGCAACGCGCACACATATAGTAAACTACACATATTTTTACTGGTTTAAAGAGGTTCTGCACAGGCCCCAGACGTGCTTTTTCCGGCGACAGTACACACTTGACACACGACCCCGAGGGCAGCGGGAGGAGATGCCCATCCCCACGCCAAGCCGCACCATTGCGCGTGGATTTCCAAGGCCACGCCACTTTCTCCCCGAAAGCGAGCAGAGGCAGCTGCTCCAGGGGCTGGAGGCCGACGGGAGGCAGGACTTCGTGCTGCACCCGCGAGTGGCCCCCACCCGACACCCGCGCGAGGAAGGCGCCCCGCCCCGCGCCCGCGCCGCCGCGGCTGCAGCTCTGATTTGCAGCGGGGCAGGTGAACTCTCTCTCCTTCCCGCAGCTGGAGGGATAATAAATGGAGCCGGGAGGGAAAGCCGGGAGGCCCGGGCTGTGGATTAAGCAGCCTTCCCACCAGCCCGCCAGCTCCCTCCCACCTCTAAGCACCAGCCGGGCGACTTTCCCCGCTCCAAAGAGCAGGTGGGAGCTCCCAGCGCCTAGCGTGCTCGGGTCCGCCAGCCTAGGACCCTTTACTTATTGATTCATTTCTTTGCCTGAGTCAAGATTGCTTTTGCTATCATGGCGACAACAATGCTCAGACTCCTTCTTTCTTTGCTCCAGCTCCTGGGTTTGACGCCTAAGTTGGAGCCCCGGAGCAAAACAGGGAAGCAGAGGGCGAAGTCAGAAAGGAAGCTAAACTCCTATTACCCACTTCCCCCACCCCACCCCCACCCCCACCCCCACCCCCCCGGGGAAGCAGGTAGACTAGTGCCTCCCCGGCTGGTGCGATTTCTTTTAGTGCAAGTGAATTGCTTACATCCAGAACACGCTCTAAGCAGCTAATGATAAAATCTTAACTAGACTTTACCGAGACTTATTGAGGCGACAGGGCGGGAGAGTGGCGGAGACTATTAAGATGCCGGATGGTAGGTTTTATAGAAGTATTTTTACACAGGTGAGAGTAACTGCTCGCCCTTCACTAAACGCTCCAGGCAGCTGCCTTCTTTTCGGGGACAGCGGAGAGGTGGGAAAAAAGACTCCAATTTCAGAGCTGCCACTTCGGTCCGCCACCCACCCACCCACCCTAACGCACTAAGTGCAGAGAAAGGTAGGCAGGAGCGGGGCGTGTGCGCTGAATGCAAAATAATCTTTTTCTCAGAAAAAGCCCACCTGGTTGCCCTCCCACCCTTCCAACCACCCACCGACCTGCCCACCTGCCTAGCTCCAAAAAACTTCCATCCGACCCACAATTCCATAAACACGTTGGGCTTTTTAAAGAGCACGGACACACACACACACACACACACAACACACACACACACAGAGAGCTCTCTCACCTTCAGAATGATGAGGCAATGCTGCAAATTCCGCCAGAGCTAGGGCCACCCCGAGCCACACTTTGAAGACACCCATTGCCGCCTCGGCACCCACGCTGGAGGAGCTCAGCCTTCAGCATCCAAGAACCAGCTCTCCGCCGAAACGCCGGCCTCCGCACCCCGAGCCCGGGCGCAGAAAGAGCGGGGGTCGGCCGGCGGCTACCTCCAGGGAAATGAGGTGATGGTGCGGCCCGCCCGGGCGGGCGGGGGATTCAGTTCACTCGCTGCCGGGGCGGAGAGCGCGCCCTGCTCGCCAGCAAAGCAGGACGCCAACGTGGGCTGCACTTGGGAGGAAAAAAAGAGGAGGCAGAGCTCAGTTCCCGGCAAAGTCTCGCCGGAAAGTTGCGGGTCACCGGCCGGCGGCGCCTCCCAGCATTTCCCTGTGGCAGGACCCGTGCAGATCCCGGCGCAGGTTCCACTGAAACAGCTTTTCAAAGTTCACTTGACACTCGACGTAGGCTCTGCGTCGGCAGAGGAGGGGGGCAGCAGCAGCCCCGAAAGACCCACCCACACCTCCTTCTTGGTGCGGCCACCCGGCTCCGTGGAGCTCCGCCGGCGGGGGCCGCTCGCAGGAAACTTTGCGCGGCGCTGCAGGCAGCTCCCGGGACCGGTCGGCGCTGCAGCCGCACCGCGCCGCCTCCAGCCGCGCTCCCTGCAGCGGACTGTTCCAAAGCTGCCCGGGAAAGACGCGGGCCGCGGCGCGCAGGGCTCGACTGCTACTTTCTCGTCCCCGCCCCTCGCAGGGGTGCGGAGAGCTGCGGGGTCCCCGTGTGCTCCACACCCAGAGCCACCTCCGCACCGTTCACCCAGGAGCTTGCCTGCAGGGTCGGGTGTGATTAAGGGAGCAGAGGAGGAGCCATTATTTTAAATGCACGGAGGAGAAAGGTGGAGAGACTGGAAGGGACCCCGAACTCAATGCCACTCGGCCCAGTAAGCCCGGAAACACACAGAATCGGCCCCGGCTGGATCCCCGCGTTTGAGGAGACACGCTCCACCTTCCTCTGCTTCCCTCCCTCCTTCCTCTCTCCTTTGCGCGGTGTGAAAATGGACCCAGGGACTCGGAGCTTTGGCAAAGATTCCAGAAAGTCACGTGGAGAAGGGGAGAAGCGGGGGAGGGGGGAGAAGCGAGAGGAAGCGGAGAGAGCAACCTGATCCCCTTTTCGTTCTGCTGGAGTTCAGATTGCCTTTGTCTGGGGCGGGATCAAAAGTGGTCACACGAGGGAGGAGGGGGTGCAGGAAAATGGCGTGGACCTTGCTCGGGCACGGCTGAGGCTGGCGAACCCCTCCCTCTACACCCCTCCCTCGAGGAGGGGCTGAGTCCCCCTCTCTGGAGGAGGGACTGATACCCACATTCAAAGGCCCTGACTCTACTCCCCTAACCCCAGCCCCGCCACTCCTGCTGGACTAAGTGCACGAGGCGGACCTGATCCATCGTCCTCGCTGCGGGACCCTCGGGTCGTCCCCTCCTAGGTTTAGCAGCAGCCGGGAGGTTTGCTGCGTGTGTGTGAGCTAGGTGGGGCCTCTCCCAGCGAAAGCACCTTCACGTCTCCCCGAGAGAGGCTGTCAGTGGAACCCTATGCGGTCTCGGCACAGTGGCTCCAGCTGCGCCCCCAAATGCCAGGGACTGGGAAGTAAATGACTGGGAAGCACACTTTACGAGTGGAGGCCTTGATTCCCGCCAGGACTGAGTGAGTGGCGACAGCTATTTTTACCGGATCAAATAAAAATAGCTGGTCTAAACCTAGTCGTTTTATTAAATGGGAGTGGTTGCATCAGGCAAAGGCTGGCTGGGTTCGATTGGCCAGAGAAGAGACGTCCTGGGTCTGGCAGTTGAGCTGAGATGGGCAAACCTGTCTGAAGGTAGTTTGCCCATGCATTGAACACCTTGCTGTAAAATGGCGGGGATTCCATTTGTTTCCAGTCTTCACCACCATCATAAAGCGGGTCTGCAACGGTGCCGGAACTGCTGGCTTTTCGGACTAGCTCTGTAAATTGTCACAGGCAGTTCCCATGACTATTTACTATTTAGCCAAGGCAAAGAGAGAACTTCAGACAAACTGGCACTGAGACTGTCATTTTTGTATCTGAAGCACATAGTAGGTGCTCTGTAAATGTCTACTGGGGGGGAAATGAATTAAGCAAAATTGTAAGTCCCTGAGAGCTGTAAGTCCCATATTAACTCCCTCTTCATCTTCTCCTTTTTTACTTAAAAAGTTGTCATTTTCTTTTTTTTTTTTTAAAGTTTCATTTATTTATGCATAAAAGATCTTGGGTACAGGCCAGAGGTGTGGAGGGTGAGAGGATTCACCAGAGTTGGAGTGAGGGACAGAACAGGCAGATTGACCAAAGTACAATACTGAGGGGAGCAGCGGGCAGGTCAGGAGAGGTCTGCTGTACCATATGGGTTGCTCCCTTGCTGACCAGGGATTGAACTTGTGCTGCAGTGGCTGCGGACATTTTCATAGGTTGTGTCATAACTCCTTGCACCACCAGGGAGGCCCCAAAAGTTGTCATTTTCTTGATTCCATGTAACAGTGCTGTGAAAACTCAGCTGTGAATACCTCTGACAACCAGTGTTACCTCCCCTAACCCCCTCCTTATAGACATTTTGTAACCATACTGACACCTTAGTGGGAGTAACTTAGACAATTTTTGTCTCAAGAATCAATTTGATTTTACTTTTTTTAAAAAATCATATAATCATAGCACTGAAAGGAGACCCAATAAGACATCTGTTATACTTATGCTAAATGCAAATGTGTTGCTTTTTTAAAAGGGAAAGAAGAAGGGAAGAAGGGAGGGGAGACTAACACTACCAAGTTACCCCAAATTCATCACATGCTGTGTTTATATATAACATCCTCCTGTACCAACGACCCATCACAAGGGGTCCACACTGGCCCCCGTACATCATCTTCCCTCTACCTTAATTGAATAGAGAGCAGATAGCCCAGAGTTCTTGTCCCAACACTCCCAGATGATGAATGGTTGGGAAAAGTTAACCAATAATTCAGTAATATTATGCATACTAGCACCTTCTAAGGCCACTCACTGAGAAAAATAATTATTAGCATAACCTAGTTCATGATGAAGAAAATTTAATAAGCATGTTTATGTCTATGCAACATGACTAGTTTATAAGTTACCCGCTACAAATGAGTGCTTCATTCCAATAGTCACTGCTTTCCTGGACAGGGAGGCAGCAGTTCACAAACGTGAAATGTGGCTACAATCTTCTTAATTCACATGTCTGGATTTCACATCTTCTATTAATATACCCCACAATTACCTCCTTGGTTTGGCCCTGCTAACTATTGACTTTTCCCTAGCCTTGTTGCTATCTATTGGGGGGGAGGCAGGAAAGGGAGATTGTTTATCAATTCCTGCTGTAAATGATAATAATAGCAACATGATAATGGCTAACACATGTTAGATACTTTATTCTTAATACTGTACACTTTCCCATTTAATATTCCAATAACTTTGTGAGATATTACTATTATTTTTTCCACTTTCAGGAAAAATAACTGATGTTCAGAAAGTTAAGTAATCTGTCCAAAGTCAATCAGAAAATAAATAGCAACACATATTAGAGCAAGCAACTCTTGTTGCAATAACAGAAAAAAAACCCTAATCACAGTGTCTTAAAACAATAAATTTCTCAATCACATTCTGGCCCCTACATGTTGGTGGCTCTTGGCTTCTGGGCATTGGTAGCTTCTTGTTAGTAGGCCATCATGGAACACATGACATTCACAGTTTCTGAATAAAGGTAAGAGAGTGATAAAATAAGGCAATGCAATTCCTAGGGACCTCAGCCCTTCCTCTTGGAAATCAGTGACAATAAGGAGCCACATAATCCAAACGTAAATGCAAGGTGGGGCTAGAGCCCATAGGGGAACACATGGATATTTAGTGACCACCAGCTGTACTGCTTCACTCCAGAACCCAGGCTTCCTAATTGTCTTAAAACACTTAGCCACACACACTTGACTTTTAGCAAAACCACAGGTTGAACTTCCCTATGGATACTCTGGCTTTGCTGACCTTTCCTGCAAGGACTCTGTTGCTTCTCCAACTTGTCTTTAATTTCCACTTTCCTCTCCATCCCCTTCCTCCCTTCTGTCCCCTTGTCCTCTACTTCTTGCTGTCTTCCATCTGCACAACCCCGGTCTGTGTGTTGAATCTTCTATCATGTCTCTCTCCTACATGCGCTTTCTCTGATCTCCTTCCACCTGTCCTGAGCATGTTCCTGCAATGCTAATGCATTTGTTCCAATGTGTCACTTTCAGCATGTGACAGTATTTGTTGGCTTTTTTTCCCCCTGCTTCAAATTGCTATACCAAAAGGAATATTCCCTGCTATAATGTAATCCCTCCACAAAAATAACTACAGCAAACACATTCAGACATTTTTTCTGCTTAACTAAACATATTCTTTGACAAAAATAGAGTCATAATTTACATGCTGTTTTATAGCTTGCCCTTTTTCTCCCACTGAACAAAATAGGTGGGCCAAGTTTCTAAGTCAAATCATATTGATCTACCTCATTCTTCTCAAGAGCAGCTTGGGTTTACACCATATGGATATATCTTCACATATTTAGCCAATTCTCTTTTGAAGAATATTTATGTTGCTTCCATTTTTTGCTTCATAAAAAGCACTAAATGTTCTTATTTATAAAAGTCCTTTGTGCACTTACCCAATTTTTTCCTTGGGATAAACTTTTGTAGGTGAAATTGCTTGGTCAAAGACATGTATAGTTTTAATTTTGATACCTATCATTTAAACTTTGAAAATCCAGGTAAAATGGCATTTTGCTTCCACCACTTATTAATTGTATCACTTTAGGCATATTCCCTCCCTGAACTTCAGATAACTTGTCTATAAAATGGACATTATGATAGTGCTCACCTTATAAAACTTTTGTTTGCATTAAATAAAAGTGCTAAGCAACATCTCCAATATACATGAGCCACTTAACAGATATTAGCCAAGAGAAATACAGATATTTTCAAAAGCTTCCTTTTTTATTCCTTAGTGAGGTAAAACACGTATTTACCTGCAGTATTTCTTTGCATGTGTGTAATGACCTGTTTATATTTCTGTGTTGTTGGGTTTTTTTTTAATTCTGTGTAGAATTGTAAGAGTTTTTCATATATTTAGATATTAATCTTTTTATGAAATTGAATATTGCTTGACAGAAAGGGAATGACTAGATTCCATTCATTTTTGTGGGAATGATAATTTCTCTAGCAGTGGCACAGGAAAGATATATAAGACGAAAACCAAGAAAAAAAAAAGACTTCATTATCTAGAAACTTTTCCCTGGGAAAAAATTAACAAAACCCCCAGGTTTTTTATTTTCTTTCCTGTTTTGTCTTCTCTACTTGGGACAGCCACCCAACCTAAACACTGGTTTGGTCCTCACAGTTGTGGCAGGGCAAGTAAATTTCTCATTGGTCAGTATCAATGAGAAATATTTTTTATTACCCTGCCTCAATTGCTAAATATTTTTTATTACCCTGTGCCTTCCGTAAGAACACAGCAGAAACCCAAGAAGCAAACGTCACTAGAAATGCCAAATGATTGCAGCAG